GCTAAGAGACAGAGTCTTGTGCAATTCTCAGCATACTTTACTGTACTTTCTTTGGACTTTTTCAGGAGAAGGGGCACTAAATACAAAGTAACATTCACAGCACCACAAGTGCAGATACCAATATGAAGCATGGCCTGCCATGAGTCAGAGGGGCAGGAGAAATTCAGGCCCATAAAACTTGGGGGTGCTGCTCTGAAGATCTGTGCAAGTACCCCACAGAGCAGACAGCACCTCAGGTTTAAGGGATCCTCCAAAAGGCTCCAATGTAGCAGTCCACATGGAGTTCAATTGGATTGGATGGATGGCATGGGAGTGTTTGGAATCTCAGATACGGAGCCCACCTGCCCCCTTTCCTCCCCAGAAAGGGTGAAGGTATCCAAGCAGCTCTGCTACTGGGAGTATACTGGCACCACCTTGCTGCAGGAGCCCTTATTGTATAGTCTCTGGCCACTTCCCCTACACTGCTGCCAATATCAGCTGCTTGCAAGAAATTCCAGCTTAGACAAAACCCTGCAGTTTTAGGGGTGAAATGCTGAACAGTGCAGAGAGGAAGGAGTGTTAAGGAGAGTATTGGGGTGGATGGCAAGGAAACTACACTTGCCTTGCTGAGCCAAAGCTGATCACATCCAGGAGAAAGCAATAATTTCCCCCTACTCCCACCCCCTAATTTGCATCAGAACTGGGGCTGTTCTATGATGCAGCACATGCAAATGCCTGTTCCGCTCCCCACACCAGCTGATCACTGTTTCCACTTCTCCCCCCACTTGCAATCAATGCAGCAGAGAGCAAGCCATGTGTGAACCCCAGGTGATTAGGAAGCCGGCTCATACAGCTGCTCTTGCTCACCACAGCCCACTGCAGGAAATTCGAGCTAGCTGAGTGGGAGCAGGGCAGCAAGTCTCAGAGCCCAGGTCTACAAACTCTGGCTCTCAGGGCTCATGCTGCAATGCTAAAGACAGCTATGCAGAAATTTGGGCTTGGGCTCGGGCTCTGAAATCCACCCCACTCCCCAAGCTGCAGAGCCCAAACAGCTACACTGCTACTTTTAGTAATGTTTCATGAGCCCAAGTCTGTAGACCTGAGCTCTGAGACTTAACATGGGTTTTAAAACAGTGTAAAACATATCCTGTCAGACATAGGGCAGCACAATTATAATTCACCACTAACCACAAGATCTATGTTTTATAGGGTTACCATACGTCCGGATTTTCCCAGACATGTCCGGCTTTTTGGGCTTCAAATCCCCGTCCGGGGGGAAATCCCCAAAAGCCGGATATGTCTGGGAAAATTGGGACATGCAGGGCCGGCGGTGCTGGGCCGGGGGCCGGCCCAGGCTGGAGACGCCTTGTGGGGGGGGGCGGGGGGGGGGGCT